CTGATTATAATAACAAAGATGTTTATGAATTCACTTAAACTGTATGAAAGTTAAATATATTTTTTTTTAAATGCCTCATAAATTTTAAAACTTAAGGTTATAATCGGGACTAAGATCTAGATATCTCTAATAAAGCAGATTACATAGCTCATTGCCTAACTGGTGGTTTTTAGGCACAACCACTTTTCTATTATATATGTTTTGAAAACGTTAGTTGAAACGTTAAGTTTTCGAAACGGCCATTTCCATGAAAATTTTTTGAAATTCACGAATTTCTCGGAAACAACCTAAATATTTAATTTTTGCAGTTTTTGAAGTTAAACAGTTTATAAGCGTGTAAATATTTTTTTGTTTGCTTGAATTCGTTTAAAATGCTTGTTGTAATTAATTTTTTTTTTTTGACCGGTAATTTTTAATAAAATTTTTTTTCATAGAGTAAACAAAACCTTTTTATTTAACGTTTTTTTGTAAACGTTTAGTATCTTTCGATGAATTTTTTATATGAGTAAAACAATTTTCATAAGAAATTAAAATTATTGGGTGTTTCTTAAAACAATAAAATTGTTGTAATTTATTTTTACCGTTATTTGCCCCTGGTAATATTTACATAACTTATATACCTATGAATAAATGGGTATATAAATTGGTTTAAACTCGTTTTGCTTGATAAGTACCTATTCGCAGAGCCGTCCTGAGGGGGGCGTTGGGGGTGTCTAGCCTCTTAAGAATTTTATAAGTCAGCAAAATTCGATTTCTAGTTGGCAGTCGGCAAATGTCGGAAAAGGAGGACCTTTTTTTTTTTTTTAGATAATTTATTGGGCAAAAAAAAAATTTTTCGGGCTTTAGTTGGCAAAAAATAGACACGAAATCCCCTCCCTTGAAAATCTCTTCGGGACGGCCCTGCTTATTCGTTTTGCCTAAGTGAGCCACTAGTGTGGCCCACTTGTGGAACACATAATGTGGTTCACATAACTGTTCCACTTAATGTGGCATAATCCTTAAATAAATATGTGCAAAATTTGATGTGGCTATCATGTGGGCCATACATATAAAACTAACGATCTTGCCTCATTTTGAATTCTAAATTTTAACTAATTGTAATAATTCTATCGCAATGCATTCTAAACTCTAGAATATTTCATGATATCATGTGGCTTACCGTTTTAATAATTTTCAATTCATAACTGTTGTAAGTATGTTTGAGCGATAAAAATAAATATATGTAAAAAAAAAAGTGTAAATATATAAAATAAAAAACAAAAACCTAGGTGTGTAAAGAATTTTACTTATTGTATTATACAATTTGTCATCATTACTAAACTAAGTTTTTTTTTTTAATGTGATTTTATGTGTAATTTAGATTATATAACGGCATATTGTTAAAAGAATATTATTTAAAACAATATAACTTATATACAGGGCCGTACCCACGGGGATATGTGTGGGGTGAATATCCCCCCCCCCTCCCAGATTTACACAATTCTGTCGGTTTTTGTCGGAAAAATGGAAGATTTAGGATTCTGTCGGTTAGAACTGATATTTGGCTTCTAAAAAAAAAAAAAATAAACCCTTGTCTGTAAAGTTAGCTTTTTTCTTTTGCACCCCCCACCCCTCACAAGTCTTCGTCGTTCGGTACGGCCCTACTTATTATATATAAGTATACAATATATGTTATAAAGTTTATAATAAACTGTAAATGTTTAACTTTGTTATAAAAAAATAAATAAAAATAAAAATATTTGAGCGGTTTTGTAATGAATATATTAGAGAATTGTTGTTCTAAATAAATTTTCCATAAAATTTGTAAATCAGAGTTACACTTAACGAATACAAATTTCTAGTTATACTTAAACAACGTTATATTTCAAAATAGCGGACAATGTTAGCAAACTTCCGCAACCGCATATAAACTGTATAGTAATGCGTCACTAAAAATAAGTATAGTTAAACAAACACACACACTTTTTAATTAAGGCGTATTATATTATTATATATTATATATTTATTATGTATTATATGCTATTATATATTATTATATATTATATATATTATGTATTATATGCTACCACTGCAGCCGTGGCGCAGTGGTAGCACACTTGTCTCAGAAACGTAAGATCCGTGGTTCGAACCCCACCTCTGGGCAAGTTTTGCGACATCGGTTGGGAAGGAGGCGTGAACTTCCTATTAAATGCTCTTCCGCGGTGCTCTGTGATAAGACCGTAAGGACTTCTTTAGGCACCTTAATCAACTTAAAAAAATATTTTCTGCATTAATTTAAATTTTTTGAACTAAAAAGATCGGTACAAAGAAAAAATCCCCCCAGAAAAAATCCCCCCAAGAAAAAATGCCTTTGGTTTCAAATTGAAAATAAAATATATCGGAGTTTTTTGTTTGTTAAGTATTTATCTAAAGCCAAATAAGTTGCATCATTAAGAATATAGAATTGGTAATTGCAACTTTCATATATTGCATATTTTATGGTTAAATTAAGGTACATAAAGTTAGTTTTTTGATGATCAACTATTGGAGTACATTCGTACAAGTTTAATTAAGTGACTTTAAAATCCCTTCTTAAATAAATTGAATGATCTATTGAAAGTTTAAAATTATGGGTATGCTTTCACGATTTTATAAACCCACAAGCGAAAACGTTTTTAAAACATCAACCTATAATTTTGTCCTATCATGCTATAAATAAAAATCATTAAAAATTAAAATTATTATATATTGCGATTTACATTTATAGCTTATTTGTATTATTCAGTATAGTTGTGTTTCTTTTTTGTTACGAATATTGCAAGCAGACGATAGACTTAAGAAATAAATATGCTTCTCAATGCCAATGAAGTGTGTGGCTTGCTCTTATTTAGTGTGATTTTAGTTGGATAAACATTAAAACCACATATGAAACGCGCCAACGCCATACCATAAAGGAGAGTGGTAAATATATGGCTAACATATGCTTCCAAACTCGGGCCACATGAAACTTTTACGCACAAATGGCGTTCATTCTTATTTAGTGTGGTTTTAGTGGGATAAACATTATAGCCAAACATGGGAGATACGCCATCTCATAAAGGAGAATGGTAAGCATATGGTTAACATGTAAATGCCATACATGGCCCACATTAAAATTTCTTGTCGGGATAGGTTATAATTTACAATATAGAATATTAAATGTCGAATGCGGAGTACCACAGGAGCCAATCCTTGGTCTGCTCCTATTAATTTATATTAACAATTTATGTAATGCGTCATTAAAACTGTATGTATCCGTATATAGATGTTTGATATCATTAAAACGATACTAGATATCTATATACGGAAATGAATATGAAATTAACTAAAGTATATAGTATGGTTTAGGGTAAATAAACTCTCACTATATGTTGCAAAAACGAAATATGCTCTCTTCAATAAAAAAACACAAGATTTAAAGATTCTTCTTAAGTTGCGCGAACATTATTTAATTGATACAATAATTAAAAAGAAAGCAAGTGTAAAATTTTTAGGAGTTCTTGTAGATAAAATTTATCCTGGCTTCCCTATATAAATTATAACAGTCAAATAATACCAAAACTATTGACGTAATGTATCGAGTTCGACCATATGTTAAGTCTCAAGTTAATATTTTGAGCTAATCCACTGTTTTATTAGCTATTCAAATAAATAATGGGGAAATACGCAATCAACATAACTTCAAAATTTATTGGCTACAAAACACGCTAGCCTTATCATATACTTTAAACATAAACGAGAACATGCAAAATCTGTTTTGAAATAAATATCTATGAGCATCTAATTTTTATGTGTAGATACTACAACAACCTTTTGACAGCAAACTTCAACAATAAGTTTAAAATAAATCTAAATGAAAAGTATAATCTGAGATCAAATAGAAATATCAACTATAAATTGTCCTGGAAATTTAATTAACTCTTAGAATATTGTATATCTTATCGAGGCCCTAAATTATGGAATGGCAATCAAAAGGATTATAAGTTTATGGTGATGTCCTTAAATTCGTTTAAGTTTCAAACAAAAACAAAAAAAGTTTTAATTTAGTCATAAAAAAGGTTTTTCTTTTTTTAATAAATTTTTTTTTATTTGGTCTATTTTCACGGTAACTTAATATTATTATTTTTTATGCAAGCTTTTTAGCATTATGATATATTGTTAAAAACTGTACGAAGGGGTTCTATCAAAAGATTGTGATAAAGTAATGTTGTCCTAATTTTCTTGGAGCCTGTGTCTGCTTAAACTTAATTTTGTTGTAAGTCCAGTATATATTTTTATTTTTTATTTTATGTTATCTATATTCATACGAACATTGTAAAAATAATATTTATACAACGTTGAACAAAAAAAGAAAAGAAAAAAAAGAAGGTTTGGCGCAGAGTGGGACGTAAGGTTGTCAAAAATCAAAAAAAATACTGACTTCAATTAGATAAACAAGACAGATTAATTATTATTAAACTATAGATAAGAAAATCCCAAAATCTTCTATGGTTTGTAGTTCCAAAAATTTCGTTATTCAAAGATACACATTTATTAAAAAAATTGCCTCATTGAAGTTGTTTTTTTATGCGTTCTGCTGATGTGATATAATCAAGTGAAGAATAAATTATTCTATATCTTTCAAAAACTTATCAAAGCATTTCAATGACAATTAAAAAAACCTTAAAAAATTTTTATAAAACTTTAGGAAGTCAGCCATTTAATCAAAAATATTGTTACAAAAACATTAAAAATCAACTTTGATGGAGTCCAAAAAAATAAACGTTCTAAACATCTTCTCCTAAAAAATTAATATAAAAGGTAAATTTTAATATTTCCTTAAACAACTGCAAAAAAAAATTGACTGCCCTTGGGTTGCAAAAAAGGCAAAGCAATTGATGTATTTATACGCCTAATAAACTCATCAGATTCAGAAACAATTTTAATTTAGGTAAAAGATTTAAAAATAAAATATATTTAAAAAATAAATTACTGATCTTTTA